ATTTGGCAATTATATAAAACAGTCTTTTTGGTCTCTTGGCTACAAAAGGTCAGACTATGTGCAAAGGAAGACAATAAGTACAAATGCTATTTTTGTGTGCAAGTACACATCCCATGTGATGAGGCGGAAAAGGCTGGTTTTTGTTCATCTTCTGCTTTCCAATACTAGATACCTTTCTTAACTTGGTCTTGTGTATCATGTTTAAATCCTAAAAAAATGAATAACTAAACAAATGTAATTAAATCATAAATACCAGGAAATTGTGCAAAACTTAAAGCAAAGTGTCAAATATGAACCCATGCAGACTGGCAAATACACACACATTTTGGGTCAGATATCTATTTCAGACCCTCAGACGAGTTAATGAGTAAACATCAGCACACCAGATTATTAGTACACCCCAAATGTGGGTAAATGGCAATTATTAATTGACCATTTACTGCTGGCTCAGGTTTGGGTTAATGGGAAGATGAACAGACAAGACCACGCCAGGCCACAGGGGAAGTCCGTACCCCAGAGGACAATCTACTCACTACAAAACGGACCACTTGGTGACTCCTACTTGCAGGGAGCAGCACAATGACAGGTGTGATGCAGCGATGGGCAGCACTGCTGGCATTGGCAGTCACTGTAGGTGTGGTGGTGCCAGCCTGCAGACGCCAGGGTCAGGCAGTACCTCCAGGGTTGTCGGCAGAAGGGGACATCATGATTGGTGCCGTGTTCTCCATCCACAGAAGAACAGAGGAGAGAATTTATTCATACACTTACAAATCACAAGCTCCATCCTGCATCAGGTTTGTGATCACAGCAACAAAAATGTGACTTTCTCTGACATGTAAATTACAATCATTTTAACATCTGGTTACTTTTCAGAAACAGACTGACCAAGCTTTCATACAAAAAGATACGGCACCTATTTCATGTACAAAGTAACATTTTTTTTTCGGTAAATAACGTTTAAAGTTGAAAATATGCATGTCCATGTATGCAACTGTTTCTTATACTTCCAGAATGAATAATTTACATTTATTATAGTACTTTGCAATATTTGAGCTCTCGTGATTCTGCCAATATTTTAAACAAGGCCCTTTTCTAGTCTGAATTACAGAGAATTTCAATTTGCCCAAGCAATGATCTTTGCCATTGAGGAAATAAACAACAGAACAGACCTCCTCCCCAAAGTATCACTGGGCTATAAGATATATGATTCCTGTGGCTCAATCCTTTTGGCTATTCAGTCAGCGATGGCTCTGATGAACGGCTATGAGGAAAGCCTGACTGATACATCCTGCTCCAGACCTGCAGCTGTCCAGGCCATCATAGGGGAGTCTGGGTCTTCCCCAACAATTGCTATCTCATCAACAGTTGGACCTTTTTCCCTTCCATTGGTAAGTAACTATCACTTTTCTTTGGGCTGCGCAGCTCAGGCACTTTACCGCAATGTGCTTTTGCTACCAGAATTTCTGCATGTGATTAATTTGTTTCCTCCTTCCTGCTACTATAGATCAGCCACTTTGCCACCTGTGCCTGCCTGAGCAACAGAGAAAAATACCCGTCCTTCTTCAGGACCATTCCCAGTGACTACTACCAGAGCAGAGCACTGGTCCAGCTGGTCAAACACTTTGGCTGGACCTGGGTGGGGGCCGTCAGAAGTAACAATGACTATGGAAACAATGGAATGGCCACTTTTGTCGAGGGTGCTGAACGAGAGGGAATCTGTATTGAATATTCTGTGGCTGTTTTCAGGACAGATCCCACAGAAAAAATACTCAAGGCAATTGACGCAATTAGAAAAGGAACTGCAAAGGTGATAGTAGCTTTTGTGGCTCTCGGAGATATACTCCCACTGCTCCAGGAGCTGGCTCTTCAGAATGTAACGGGCATACAGTGGGTGGGCACGGAGTCTTGGATCACGGCGAGTAACCTGGCACAGAAAATAGAATTTAATTTCCTTAAGGGATCTCTTGGGTTTGCAGTAGGGAGAAGCAAGTTAGAAGGATTGGAGGAGTTTCTGATAAAGGTCCACCCAAAAAAGGAGCCAGGAAACGCTCTTCTGAAGGAATTTTGGGAGACAGCATTCAGCTGCTCTTTTGAGAGCAGCAGTAATGTGGTTGATACAACTTTCTGTACTGGGTATGAGACCTTGAGTGACCTGAAAAACCCATATACAGATATATCTGATCTTAGAATATCCAACAAAGTATATGCAGCAGTTTATGCAGTTGCACATGCTCTGCACAATATCCTGGAAGACAATGTAGGTCGCTTCAACATCAACGGCAGTCATGGACCCCAATTCAGACCACTGGAGGTAAAAATCAAGGAAAAATCTTAGATCACAGTAGGACAAGTACATTTTCAACTCTGTCTAAATAAAACCATTTCAAGCCAACTTTTTTAATACAGGTATTTGCCTATCTGGAAAAGGTTAATTTCACAACCAAATATGGTGAGCAGGTGTCCTTTGACATTAATGGAGATCCAGTAGCAAGATATGAACTGGTAAACTGGCACCTCACTGATGCAGGAACCATGAAGTTTAAGACAGTTGGAATGTATGATGCTTCGTTGCCTTCAAATAAAACGTTTGTCCTAGATCAAGGGAACATAGTTTGGGCTGGAGGACAATCACAGGTATAATATGACAGGTGGAAACACAGTTCCATTATTAGCAGTTTTTTTATTGCATTTATATAGAATAGTTTATGTAAGCAATTTGCGTCAATAACTTCCCCTGTGTTGTGTCCAAAAATCAGTAAAAAATATACAAGCAATTTCATAATTATGGTTAATAAAACAAAGACACACAAAAGACCACATGCAAAATCTGATATATATTTACATTTTAGCTGAATTCCAACAAGCCCATTTAAAGCATGTAATATGATCTATTATTGTCACACAGAAGCTCGGATCAAAGTGCAGTGAGAGCTGTCCCCCAGGAACCCGCAAGGCCGTGCAGAGAGGAAAACCTGTCTGCTGCTACGACTGTGTACCCTGTGCTGATGGGACAATCAGCAATGCTACAGGTAATGGATATGTTTTCAGAATGCTCATCTAATAAAAGTTAAACACTGCCAACAATAATTAAACTTTTCAATAACTGTATTCCAATTTTCTTACAGATTCTAATGACTGCATTCCTTGTGATCTGGAATACTGGTCAAATGAATATAGAGTCAGAT